TATATTTAAAGCTTACTTTTGTCGTAATAATTGGTCAAATGAATTTAACATATTAAAACTGTTTAAAACAGTATTCGAAATAATGTATCAATACTATAAATACCTGATGACAAAAGTTTTTGTTTTTTTGACAAAATACTCCAACTTTTAAAAGATATATACTAACCTCTAGATAGTTTCAATCTTTTTTCACTTTGTGTGTATATGTATGTTGTAACTCTATAACATATGAATATCTCAAATTGAATTTGTTAAATTATCTCATTGTATATATGTACAATTATGTATTATTATGTATAATATTTGTGAATAAAAAAATGTATCATCATTCATACTTGACATGGCATTAGATGTCTCATGCCTCAATGTGCCTTTATACGCCAAAACAGCTAGATTTAAAAACTATCTTCTGGCAACATTAAATACAAAATACAAAAAACTCCTACAAAGTACACCATTTTTATATAGTTATCAAGAATAAATATATATGAAATCAAACAATGGGCTCCCAGAAAAAACAATACGAAAAAAGATGAAAATCCAAAAGAGAGTTACAGTTATTATTCACTTTACATTACTCTTAGTATAAAGTCAATCAGTCGTACAGTTATTGCTAACTTCACTTCTCATAGTACTTAGACACCTAATTATATTTTGAGTTTCAAGTTTCAATAATAAAGGGCAATAACTAAAAATTATGCACGGTAGCGTTATCATTCTTGTGCGCTGAACTCCTCCTCAATGAGATCTATCCACCTATGAACTTGCAAGTTGATACCTGTAATACTTTTTGAGATAAGCTCTGGACAAAAAGTATGAAAAATAACAAAGGGCAATAACTCAAAAATTATAACGGGTAGAGTTATCATTCTTGTGCACAGCATTTCTCCTCCATAAGATCTTTCAACCTATGAAGATTTATGTTGACATCTCAAATATTTTTTGAGTTATGCTCCACTCAGGAAAAAAAATAAGTATGAAAAATAACAAAGGGCAATAACTCAAAATTATGAAGGGTAGAGTTATCATTCTTGTGCACTGCACACCTCCTGAGTGAGATCTATCCACCCATGAAATTTCATGTTGATATCTCCTGAGGACAATGTTCTCAAGGTGAGCTTTTTTGATGGCCCATTGTCCGTCGTCAATCGTCCGTCTGTCCGTCCGTGCGAGCGTCAACAATTTCTTTAAACAAATTATCCTCCTAAACCACATGGCCAAATTTGTTAAAACTTTGCAGGGATGTTTCTTGCATGAAGCTCTACCACAGTTTTTCAAAGAATTACGGTAAATTCCATAAAGAACTCTGGTTGCCATGGCAACCGAAAGATAATCTTATAAAAATCTTCTTGTAAAAAAACTGAAAGAGGTAGAGCTAATATATTTGTCATGAAACATCTTCCAGTAGATGTTTACCAAGTTTGTTCAAATAAAAACCCTATGCTCAAAATTGACCCCGTCCCAGGGGTCATTGATTTTCCTTATATGTATAAAGTAAAAACTTAAAAAATCATCCTGTGAAAAACTAAAAAAGTTCGAGCTTAGATATATGGCATGAAACATCTTCTAATAGATGTCTACCAAATTTGTTCAAATGAAATCTCTAGGGTCAAGATTGATTACGCCTCAGGGGGACATTGATTTTCCTTATATGTATTTAGTAAAAACTTAAAAATATTTTTGTGACAATCCAAAAGCAATATAGATAAGATATTTAGCATGAAACATCTTCTAGTGGATAACTACCAAGTTTGTTCAAATAAAATCTCTAGGGTCAAAATTGACCACGCCCCAGGGGGTCATTGATTTTCCTGATATGTATATAGTAAAAACCTAAAAAATCTTTTTGTGACAATCTAAAAGCATTATAGATAAGATATTTAGCATGAAACATCTTCTAGTGGATGTCTAAAAAGTTTGTTCAAATAAATACCCGAAGGTCATAATTGGCACAGGGGTCATTGATTTTCCTGATATGTATATAGCAAAAACTAAAATAGATATTCTTGTGACAATCCAAAAGAGCTAGAGCTTAGCTATTTGGCATAAAAAATCTTCTAGTGGATATCTACCAAGTTTGTTCTAATAAAAGCCTTAGGGTCAAAATTTGCCCCGCCCCAGGGGTCCATGATTTTCCTAATATGTATATAGTAAAAATTAAAAAATCTTCTTGTGAAAATTCAAAAAAGGTAGAGCTTAGATATTTGGCATGAAACATCTTCTAGTAGATGTCTACCAAGTTTGTTCAAATGAAAGCCCTAGGGTCAAAATTGACCCCCTTCCAGGGTGTCATTGCTTTTCCTTATATGCATATAGTAAAAACTTTAAAAAAAATTCTTGTGACAATCCAAAACCACTATAGAATAGATATTTGGCATAAAACATCTTCTAGTGGATGTCTACCAAGTTTGTTCAAATAAATGCCATAGAATCAACATTGGCCTGGGCCAGGGGGTCATTGATTTTCTTTATATATATTTATAGTAAAAACTAAAAAAGATCCATGTTTGTTCAAATAAAAGCCCTAGGGTCAAAATTGACATTGCCCCAGGAATCATTGATTTTCCTTATATATACATGTATATAGTAAAAACTTTTAAAAATCTTCTTGTGAAAATCTTAAAGGCCTAAAGCATAGATATTTGGCATGAAACATGTTCTAGTGTATGTCTACCATGTTTGTTGAAATAAAACTCCTAGAGTCAAAATTGGTCCCGCCCCAGGGGAGCGAGGTCGACTGTTCAATCCCCAGCCAGGTCAAATGTTTGTTTTGCCTCTCTTTTTCTATCATCTTTTCATTAACTCACCTCTCACTTAGTGACAGGCTGAACTGTTTAATAAAATGGCTGTCAGAGTTAAAATTAGAAAACAACAACATCCAAACAACATCTTAACCACTGGTTTAGAAATAATTTTACCCAAAAACTTCTTTGGTGACAGTGTACAAATGTTTTTTCACATTTAGCTGTCCTTTGTTTTTTAATTGTGCTTCTGGGGTGAAAAGGGGCTACACTTTGACCTTTAGACCTATTTCTCAGGTGAGCGATCCAGGGCCCTCTGGGTCCTCTTGTTTAGTTATGCTCTGGACAAAAATTAAGTGTGAAAAATAACAATTACTGAACAATTATGCAGGGTAGGTTATCATTCTTGTTTGCTGCACTGCTCCTCAATGAGATCTATTCACCTATGAAGTTTCAAGATGATACCTCTAACACTTTTTGAGAGAAGCTCTGGACATAAGGTATGAAAAACAACAAATGTAAATAACTCAAAAATTTTAAAGGGTAGAGTTATCATTCTTGCGCACAGCATTTCTCCTCAATAAGATATATCCACCTGAAGATTAATGTTGACATCTCAAAAACTTTTTTGGTTATGCTCCACTTAGGTGAAAATTAAGTATGAAAACACAAACAAAGGGCAATAACTCAAAAAAGTATGAAGAATAGAGTTCTCAGTGAGATCTATCCATCTATGAAGTTTCATGTTGATATCTCAAAGGCTTTTTGAATAAGGCTCTGGACAAAATTTAAGTTTGAAAAATAACAAAGGGCAAAACTGGAAAATTATGAAGGATTTAGTTATCATTCTTATGCAATTCACTCCTTCTTAAAATGATCTTTCCACCTATTAATTTTCAAGTTGATGCCTCAAATACTTTTTGAGATATGCTCCGGACAAAAATGTTGGACGGAAGGACGGACGAAAGGACAGATTGACGGACGGAGACTATTTCTATATCCCCCACCACCTTTTCGGGTGGGGATAATAAAGAAATTTGCTAAAATATACAGATTTACTAAAAGTATACAGATTAACTAAAATATACAGATTTACTAAAAATATACAGATTTACCAAAATATACAGATTTACTTAAAATATACAGATTTACTAAAATATACAGATTTACGGAAAAATATACAGATTTACTTAAAATATACAGATTTACTAAAAATTTACAGATTAACTAAAAATGTACAACATATTTAGTTAAAGTATACAGATTTACAAAAAATATACAGATTTAATAAAAATTTACAGATTTACTAAAAATATACAGATTTATTTACTAAAAATATACAGATTTACTTCAAATGTACAGATTAACTAAAAGAATAGATTTACTAAAAATAAACAGATTTTCTAAAAATAAACAGATTTGCTAAAACATACAGATTTACTAAAATGTACAGATTAACTAAAATATACATATTTACTAAAAATATACAGATTTATTAAAATTAAACAGATTTACTAAAAATGTACAGATTTACTAAAAGTATACAGATTAACTTAAAATAGACAGATTTTCTAAAAATAAACAGATTTGCTAAAACATACAGATTTACTTAAATGTACAGATTTACTAAAATATACAGATTTACTTAAAATATACAGATTTACTTAAAATATACAGATAAACTGAAAATGTACAAATTTACTAAAATGTACAGATTTACTTAAAATATACAGATTTACTTAAAATATACAGATTAACTGAAAATGTACAGATTTACTAAAATATACAGATTTACTAAAATATACAGATTTACTAAAATGTACAGATTTACTAAAAGTATACAGATTTACGAAAATATACAGATTTTCTAAAATATACAGATTTACTTAAAATATACAGATTTCCTTAAAAAGTACAGATTTACTGAAATATACAGATTTACTAAAAATATACAGATTTACTAAAAATGTACAGATTTACTAAAAGTATACAGATTTACTTAAAATATACAGATTTACTAAAAATAAACAGATTTGCTAAAACATACAGATTTACTTAAAATGTACAGATTTACTGAAAATATACATGTACATTTTTACATAAAATGTACAGAGTTAATAAATTATACAGATTTACTAAAAATATACAGATTTGCTAAAATATACAGATTTCTAAAGATTTAAGATTTACTTTTGTTATTTTCTGTCTATGTCATTAGTTTTGTATGTCAATAAATTATCATTTTGTTATCATCTCCAGGTCGCACTTTCAAGACGTGCAGTGAAAACTTCATTACCTCCCCCTATATGTACATTAGAAGTGAGCCAATACGGAATACGTATGTTCGATAAAAGTAAATCTGGGGTAGGCATAATTTAATTACTAGATTATATTTAAAATGTATATTAGAATTTATATAATTATATATATATATTTTTTTAATGCAGTGTACTGTTTCTTGTTAAGTCAGTTTCATTTGTATTTTTATTACTATTATTTTGTTGTACCAGCACTGTTTTGAGTGTACTAGTTAAACTGTGAGTTAAGATATCGAGTTACGGTATTAACCCCCCCAAATGCAAAACCTCTGCTTTGAAGAGTATTCCAATAGACAAGGATTACTGTCAAATGCATTGAAACTGAGGGCATGGCTTCAAACTCCAGGATGGGCAACTTTTTTCTTTTTCGTTTAAACATTTTTTATGTATCTCTCAGCCCAATCTTCGAAAAACATGAGTTCAATTTTAATTATATAATTATTATAGGCAAATTATTTAACAAATATGGTCCCTGATATTTTCAAAGTCTAATAAAATAAAAAATACATACACAGAAAGTCCAGATCCATGCAAGACTGCCCTTGGGCGAGGGACGTTGGTAACTCGCCTAAGGTAAATAACTAAAGAACTCTTAGGCCTTGGTATGATGACTGTTCTTGACCAGCAGATTACCCCTATTGATTTTGGGATCAAGGGGTCGAAGGTCAAAGTCATATTGACCTTGTAGGTAAAAACGGTTTCCGATCAATAACTAAAGAACACTTAGGCCTAGGAACGTCAAACTTGTATGTCTGTGCGTGCGTGTGTGTGTGCGTGCGTGTGTATGTATTTATGTTTGTGTGTTATATAGATTATATAGATTATATCGTGAACTAAAAATCTCTTGTAAAAAAAACACTGATCCAATTTCAACCAAACTTGCCAGGATTAATCCTTGGATGAAGGGCTTACAAAGTTGTTCAACGAATTTCATTCCATACAGAAATGCAGTTGCCATGACAACCAAAAGAAATTATAAGAATACATTTTTAAAAAATCGTCTTGTAAAGACCCACAAGGCATACAGCATAAATATTTTGCATAAGGCATTGTCTGGTAGACCTCTACAAAGATTGTTCAAATTATAGTCCTGGGGTCAAAATTGGCCCCGCCCCGGGGGTCATTGATTTTTACTATAGTAAAGAATTAAACAACCTTCTTGTCTGAAGGTACCAGGCTTAAAGCTTTGATATTTGGTATATAATATCATCTAAAAGTCCTCTACCAAATTTGTTTACATTTTGCCCCTAGTGTTTTAATTGCTCTGCCCCATGGGTGATAGGTTTTCCATATATGTAATTAGTAAAAAACTTGAAAAATCTTCTTTTCTGAATTGACAAAGGCTCGAGTAAAGATATCTTGCGTGAGACATTGTGTAGTGAAGCCTTATGAATCTATGCATAATGGCAATGTTCAATTGAATAGAAACAAACAAAAAATATGTTCCTACACTACTATTTAGTGTTGTATTAATGCGGTGGCATAGCATTTTTCACAAATGCAATTTTGTTTTATTTAATTTTCTTTCTAGAGATTTGTTTAAACCTTTTATGTATTTGCTTTAAGAAAAAGTAATAAAGTCGGACGTTGCCGGCCCCCGCCCGGCTCTTGTCTTTAAACATATTGTCTTTTTTAAGAAAGTTAAGTTTCAGTAATTAAACTGAATAAAGGGACTCACAAATTTATTGGAATTCCTAGATATTGTGTGTTGTGACCAAGACATGAATTAAAAAAAAGTGAAAATAAGGTTTATCAGAACTTATTCGTCTTGAACTGACCTGAAATCAAAATGAAAATCGAATGCACTTAGGACAGGTTACTCGAAAAACCGCTTTATATGTTTCTGTTACCATATTGTAAGATACATTTACCAAGTTTATCAAAGTTTAATTAAATTCTGAATGTAGTTTTTTTTAAATCTGCTGTATGCAACTGTAGCATACACACGTAAATATTAACACACTGAAATTTGCAATGCGTAAGGGAATAATTGTAATGATGCATTCCTGAAATATACCTGTCATAACAAATAACTGATATGGAAGTCTGGGTATTTATATAATAAAGTGAATCTTTTTTCTTTCAGCATGAACATCTTGAAGCATTTGCACATTTTTTCGCTTTGAAAAACATAACTTTTTGTGGACACCATCCCAGAAATGAACGGTAAGAATTAAAATATCAAAACAACAACAAAACTTAACAAATTTTTATTTTTACAAAACTGTATATATATAGTTGTATTGATAGAGAGTCTTAAATTATGTTTTGAATGCTGATAAGTATTGCTTTTAGCTCACCTGATTATAACGTGAGCTATTGAGATCACACTGTGTCCGGTGTAAAGAGGTAAAGTGACTCCTAATAAATCATGAAGCCTCAGTTTTATATAGATTATTTAGTGAACTTAAAAGAATATTCTTGTTAAAAACAACGTGTTCAGTTTCAACAAAACTTGCCAGAATTGTTCCTTGGGTGAATGGCTTCCAAAGTTATTCAAAGAATTTGATTCCGTGCAGAAATCTGGTTACAATGGCAACCAAAAGTAATTATAAGAAAATTCTTCGTCTAAAGACCCATCCGGCCTAGATCATAGATATTTTGCATAAGGCATTGTCTGGTTGACCTCTATCAAGATTGTTCAATTTATAGCCTTTGGGTCAAAATTGGCATTGTCCCGGGCATGAAACATTGTGTAGTAGACCTCTACTAAAATTGTTCAAAGTATACTATCAAACAATGTTCGACGTTACAATCTTTCAAAAACAACTGTAAAATTTATTTTCTTAGTTTACAGTTAAATACGTGATGAAAATTGATCAATTTATATTTTAATTGTTGTAAATGTTGATATCATCTTTTTTTTTTCTTTTTTTTAATCATTACCTTTACAAGTTTATCTATAATTACATGTACTATAATTAATATGAGTGTCAGTCGGACGAATGAATGAAAATATCTAACCATTTCATTCCAGAATATATAAAAAAAATTGTTTATACAAAAAGATTTTAAATTTTGTATAGATCTACATTTTTTTTCTTTCTTTGTTATTGTTAAATCAGAAGGCCTACTAATAAGTATACTTTCTTACTGTGTAAACTTTGTATGAAAATCAATGACCCCCGGGCGGGCAAAAACTCGACCTCAGTGCAATATAATAATAATAATAATAATAAATGAAGATTTTATTATTATTATTATATTGCACTGAGGTCGAGGTTTGGTCCGCCCGGGGGTCATTGATTTTCATTATGTACACACAGTAAAAACTTTTTAAAACATCTTCTCTTAATTCACAAAGGCTAGAGGTTAGATATTTGGCATGAATCATTGTTCAGTGGACCTATATCAAGATTGTTCAATTTATAGCCTTGGTGTCAAAATTGGCCGCACCCTGGGGATGATTGGTTTTCATTTTGTCCATATAGTTAAAACCTAAAAAAAAGTCTTCTTGTCGGAATGTACAAGGCTTAGAATTTTGATATTTGGTATATGATATCATCTATATAGGTCCTCTACCAATGTTGTTTAATTTTTATCACTTGTCTCAAAATTGGCTCCGCTCCGGGGGTCATAGCTTTTGGTAACATGTATATAGAAAACAAATCTTTTTATCTGAATGGACAAAGGTTAGAGATTAGAACATGAAGTAGTAGGCCTAATAACTTAAAAAGCAATGACAGATATCAGCTCGAAAAATAAGTAAATAACCAAGCGTTCGTAAGTTTGTAAAGCATCCTTTCAAAAAGTCCATGTGTTCCCATTTCCTAGCCGTGATTTGAATTTTTAAACATCTGTCAACACTTATTAATTGTCTGTAACAATCCTCAAAAAAGTGTTCTTTCTTCTTAAAAGATGTATGTCTAACAAATCCAAATGATATCCCTATGAATCAAACACAATTATTTTCCTCCCATGGAATACACAACATTTAAAAATGGCTGCCGCTTACATTACACAGAGCCAAGTCTAATATAAATTCGCCGTAAGTAACAGAAATATGGATGGATGGTTTGACTTTTACTCCTTCTAGAAATGTTTGTTTTTTATTTTAAAAACAAGTGACCTTTCATATTATTTGAATAAAATGACTAATATCATCCCCATTTAACGTTGATAGTCGAACTTATTTTTCAGCCCAAGGCTTCTTGTGTTTTATGAGAAATTCGACAAATAAAGAGGCTACCAATGGAGAAAACAGATTTTAATATTAAAGTTAATATTAAGGAAAATTTCGTTTTAACTTGTTTTTAAGCATAAAATAAAAAGAAATTTTGAGTGTACGCCACTCGTGAGAATACTGTTTTTAAAGCTCACTCGATGAAATAAAATTTCATCTTACACACAAACAAACAAATATCCTCTTTACATTTTAACTATATCTCCTCTGCAACCAATGAAATTCTAGAGGAATGAAAATTGGATGGCCCTTTAAAATGCTAAAATGGTTCCGGTCTTTTGAAAAAAAATGGCCGCAATAGCTAAAAATCGAAAATGACCTTTTTACATGTTTTACAACATTTCCCCCTAAACAGCTTAGTAGATTTAATAAAACTCTACAGACATAAGTATAAGGTGGTCTTGAACTAGAATTATTAAAATTGTCCTAGTTTGCTGAACAAGCTGGCAACCAAACCTAAAAATAGAAATACGAGTAAGCTCTTACGACATTTTCTCTTCAACGATGATACAGACTTTAATAAAAGCCTATACAGGACTGATCAGTAGGTGGTCCTTGGCAAAACTCAACAAGATGGTCGGCAGAGCTAAAAAGAGAAATAAGCTTTTAACTACATCTCTACAACCATGTTAGTTTGTTTAATGAATGACAAGAATGGTCATTGGGTGGTCCTTTAAAAATTGGTATGGTTCTAGCCTGTCAGAGGTAAAAAAAGAAAGAAATGTGCTGCGTATAGAAAATTTCTTTTTCAACTGATCGAAAGTCTACAGGAACGAACGTAAGGTTCGTAATGTTCTTTACAAAACTCAATGCTTAAATTATTCTAGTCTGCTGAACAAGATAGCGACCGGAGCTAAAACATTTATGACACTTTACATGGATATAATTTTTTTGTGTTTTACAAAATAAAACAAACTAAACTCATGTCTGCTGCTCAACTGCTCCGCAAATTTTGATTTGATTGATAGTAATTGTCTTTAGGTGTGCTTTACAAAAAGACGATTAAATTATTACAGTCTGGTGAACAAAATAGCTGCGTACTTGCTAAAATATAGAAATTAGACTTAGGTGTCATCCCCATCTCAACCGTTTGACGAATATTGATGAGACCTTATAGGAATGCCTAATAATTAAATCTTGTTCTCGTTGTGGTTAAGAGGTTGGATTTACTGTATATCCCTGCGTGAGACGACTAAATGGGTTCGAATTATTGGATTCTATGCTCCAACAGGTGAGATTGTTTTGACCCCAGATTTTGTTTTAAGTTTGTTACACACGAGATTAGCCAACATCATCTTTCCTTTCCTGTTTCGGTGCAATTGACCTATATTGTGTTAGTGCGCCGAAAAAAACCCAAACAAAAAGTTTTATAAATATGTCCATGTAAATTATATCCTCAGGTGAGCAATTAAGGACCCTCATGGCCCTTTTGTTAAGTTCTTGATCTTCTTTTTTCTCTTTAAAGGTACTTTGCTTTCATCACGAAACATCCAAATCAGTACAGATATGCTTGTCACGTGTTTCTAGGAGAAAAATCTACTCGTTCAGTTACCGACGCCGTCGGGTAAGTAAAAAACATTAGAAATAATTTATTTTTGATTTATAGGTCAAACATGATTTATTCAGAAGCAAAAGAAAAATGATAAGGTCTGAAAGATAATTTTCAAGATGATTTTAATAATTTCGTCGAGGGTGTTCAATGCAGTATTCATAAACTAAACAATAAAATAGATTGAAAGAGGATTGGTGATTTTGCTGTATGTTAGGAATGGTTATATTTGTATGCTTCTTATCAACATACTGATATTAGTGCATCATTCATTTATATTTCATTACATACTTATATTGAAAAAAATGCTATTCATGCAGTTACAAAAGCGATAACTTGAATGAATGTTTAGTACCTATTTTTCAGCCTTGCTTTTAAGAAATTCTACCAGGAATACATGGCGTTTACACACCCAACAGAGGACATTTATATGGAATAAAGAGCTTCAGGCAGTTTCATATTCTAAAGTCATAAACGTTTGTAATATTTGGTGTTTCATCCAAGAGGACGATATTCACATCCACTTTCTTAGAATTACGAATACTTTAGGGTATGAAAATCTATGTTAGATACATGATCTAATGTTTAGTTTGAATATTCTTCCACATTTATATAGAACGAATCGAAATAGAATACTTTATGTACACATACGTATTTTGATGTAAGGAACCACGCAGACAGTGAATAAAAAGTGGCCTATCGTAAATTATGGCTTACCGTTCTTTTCTGGATAATTCGAAACCTATATATATTAAGACGGTTAAATAGCTGTATTATCAGTAATGTAATCAGATGATACACTAGGACAAGAATAATATATGTGAAACGAAACAGACAAAGGTAATGTTCATCTAATGTCATGATATTGTTTCTTTGAAAAATAAATATAACAATGAAGTTGAAAGCAGACTAACATTATGCTTTACTTAATTCCGATCTATTGTTTATTGAGGAATATTTCTACAAACAGTTAACCATATAATTATCCCGTTAACTAACTAGTTAGTTTTCGTGTTAACGCGGTAAATGACAGATATTAATTAGACTAACTAGATATTTTTTCTGTTCGATAAATAAAAAAACGAATAAGTATCTAACTTCTAAAAAACATTAAAAAGTGTCCAGAAGGGCTAAAACTTACCAGTTAAATAATAGACATTTATCTATAAAACTAGATAAATTTTCCGTTCATAGATAATGCGGAATGTTTCGGACATATCCCTTGCGTTTGGTTGGCATAATTTTGCATTAAAGTGAATTGGTCTACAAGTAAAATTGTTTCCTGCGGGGAACATTTTTAATGATATAAAGATATTTCATTTACGACATTGTTTGGGGGGGATAAATAAACGTTTGTATCAGGAATATAGCTGACAATAATCGATCAATATAGAAGAAGGTCTTTGGAAACTGGTGACCGTTGATGACCGGAGAAGGTCGAACATAAAACGATTATTTTTTTTTAAGAAAATGATTAAATAGGCCTACCATTTAATGAATAATTCCGAGCAAAAAAAAAAAAAAAAAATAAAGCAAACACACAAGTTTTCGCAGAAAATATCTCTATTTATTATGGCAGATGCCACTACGAATATTTTAATTTTGTAGATTTTCAGTATAAACAATTTATTGTTTGTAACATTTTGAGATACATATTAAAGAAACATTGATAATTTTCAAACAAATCATTCAGGTTTTTTCACCTTAAACGGTAACATAATTATAGAAAATTAAAAATATCACGTAATAGTTTTTTGTTCTTAAGAGTAGGTGTAATTCTGACTTATTCCCAACCGGCAAACGGTATTTAGCCAGGTTTTCGACCAATCATGTACGGTTTACAGATCACATGCTCCTCCATGTACCGAAAACAGGTCACGTGCTCCTCCATGCCTCAAAAGTTAAACGCGTACCAATACCGCAGGGAATAACATAGGTTGTTCGGCGCGTTGATTGGTCACTACAAAATCTTGGTACCAAATGGTAGGGAATCAATTACTCTTAAAGGAAATAAAGCTGTCAATACAATCATTTCAATTAAATAAGAAGATATGTAATCTCGAAGTCACCGCAAGTGTCGACAGAGACCTGACCGCTGGGGGGTTTTTGTCAAAATTACCCGACTAAACGGCAGTTTATTCGAAATGAATGAATATTTTTTTGTATTGTGCATATAAATATGATAAAATTATATTATTATTTGTAATAACTGTCCAATCAAAACATCATATGAAACTATAACAAACCGTTTTTCCGATATGCCAAATTCCAAATCGTAATGCAAGTGCTTTCCCTATTATTTTTTGTGCAGATTATTTTCTCATTGGTTTAAACATATTTTATTCTTTCTCACATAAGCATATTTACATACATGATATTTACAATCAAAACAAGAAAAGGATTAGACTGGAAGCAACCTAATGCTTATTGAAGTCTTTTCCCAATGTACAATAAATATATGTGCGAAATAAGGCGAAATAAATTGTCGTTTGTTGACTTAGAAGGCTGATGTGTTACAACTTGCATCGAAAATGAATAAATAAATATAAGATATATCAATTATTTAAAGAAAAGCAAAATAAGACTAATAATGATAATAGTTTGATAAGTTCAGATAGAAAGAAGAATGGGATAGAAAAAGAAGGAGAAAAAAAACAACAGAAAAATATGATGAATGATAGTTGAAAATTATTGGAGAGTCAAAGCGATTCGATTTTTCAATATATTTATGAACTGCAAGGAATATTTTCTCATTATCTGAGTATGTAAGTGTCGTGTTACCAAACAGAATGGTTTTTAGTGAAACATGACAGTATGTGCTTATACAGTTTATCAACTGAGGTCTTATGTTTTTATAAAGAGGACAGTCGAGAAAAAAATGACGAGTTGTTTCCCTTTGTCCACAGACGCAAAGAGGCGAAGGTATGATATTCTTAGAAAAAAAGGTTTTCAGCCAAAGAGCTACAGTTGGTCCTCAGACGTGTGTGGAAAATCTGGAGTTTTCTTTTGCCATAGTAAAAATATTTCGGTGGCTTTTGAATGTTAGGAGATATACTCTTTTTAAATGACGATAATGTTGGAGAGTTGCGAACGTCACTTTGAAGACTGTTTAAGGCTCGAGTTGTGGATGGCAAGAAGGAATTATAATATAGCGTGGTACGAGCTCTAGGAGCCCTGTAATAGTTTTGATTTCGTAAGTGATATGATTGTTCATTGGTGGAAACTTGAAGCATTTCAGAAAAATAAGGAGGGGCAAGATTTTTGGTCATTTTATAAAAAAGAACAACTTTGTGTTGGTTACGACGAGGTTCAAGGGATTCCCACCCTACCTCGGACATAAGTTTGGAAATTGAGACAAGTTTGGTTGCACCCGTTACAATACGAGCTGCCTCGTACTGAACCTTTTCGATTGTTTCCTTCTCTTGAGATGTACAGTTATCAAAGTTAATATCACCGTATTCTAAAAGAGGACGAATGAAAGACATATACATTTTTTCCAGTGAATGACGATCAAGGATAAATTTCAACTTTCGCATTTCATTATCTGATACGCTTGTAGGTTTTCTCAATTATATAGTTTATATGAATATTCCATCTGAGATCAGAAGAGAAAAATACACCAAGATGTTTATGATGAGTAACTTCTTGAATAGTCTCACCATTCATCTCTAAGGGCGGATGGACTTGGTTGCCAGTTTTGCGAGTCAAGATAAGAGATTCTGTTTTTTTCGGGTTGAACTTTACCAACCAGGTTTTGGCCCAGTCGGAGATAGTAGAGAGATCAGAGTTAAGAGTGGTAGCAGCAGAGGTAGGATCATCTACAATTAGATATAGACTCGTGTCATCAGCAAATAGGCGAATATTAGCTTGTATATCGATAACAATGTCGTTTATATACGTTAAGAACAAAAGAGGTCCCAAAATAGATCCTTGAGGTACTCCTGCTTTAACAGTGCTCCATTTAGAATGTGCGCCAGGTATAACAACGCATTGCCTGCGGCCATGGAGATAGGATGAGAACCATGAAAGCAAGTTTCCATTGATGCCGATACATTTAAGTTTAAACAATAGGCCTTTATGCCACACCCTGTCGAATGCTTTACTAACATCACAGAATACGGCACGAACTTCCTTTCCTGCGTCAATTGCTTCAGTAAAGAAATTGTACAGATATGTTAGCTGGTTTGTTGTTGAGTCACCAGGTATGAAGCCTGGCTGCAAAGGTGTTAGAATGTTGTTGGAGTGGAGGTAGTTGAAAGTGTGTTTGAAAACAATTCTTTCGAAAACTTTACCAATTGTAGAAAGAAGAGATATAGGGCGATAGTTTCCAGGAATAGACCGGTCACCAGGTTTGAATATAGGCGAAACAAACGCTTCTTTCCAACATATGGGAAAAACCAAAGAACATAGAGATTCATTAAACAAATCAGCTAAAGGAGTAGAAAGCTCATTATACAACTCTACAAGAATTCTATTATTTATACCGTCTGGACCTGCTGCTTTACCTAATGGTAGGTGTTTGAGGACAAGTGAAATTTCATCGGGTGTTATAGAAAAGGGTTCCATATTTGATGTACAAGGTTCATTTTGCTGGAAAATCGCAGCAGTTTGCTCTGGTTCATTTAAAAGTGTTTGGTCAATAAAAAAAGTCGTTCAGTATGTCTGCTTTTGTCTTTTCGTCTTCAGCTAAAATATCACCATTTTGCAGAGGAGGAATAGAGGAAGAGGAACAGGGTTTTATAAATGATTTCAGGCAGGACCACCATGATTTTGTGTTTTGCTGTGATGTCTTAAGATTATTTGCAAGATTTTGTATATGATTTGCTTTAGAAATGTTTATTTTTGATACAATATTGTTGCGAAGTGTCCTAAATTGCAACCAATCGTGTTCTGTGTTGGAGCGTTTGGCTTTTTGTAATATCTACGTCTTTGTCTGATAAGTATTTTTAAATTAGGAGGAAACCAGGGTGGGTCATTTGGTCTAATGGTTACGTTTCTGTTAGGAATACTTGTTTTTGATATATCTATTATGGCCTCTGTGATTTTGTGTGCGTATATATCTATGCTTTGGTCTTTAAATTGGTGCAAATTTGTTGAAGCTGCAAGTTCTCGAAGTTGTTGATAGTTGCCTTTGTCAAACAGCCATATATGCCTTGTATAAGTGTGAGTATTTGGTTTATTAAAATTTATCAGGCCAAAAACAGGACAGTGATAGCGGACAGGTTGGTCTAGACAAGGCTCACCAACACCAACAGTGTATATGAATAAAGGATTCGATGTGAAAATAATATCAATTAGTGAGTTGGAGCTTTCAGTAAAGTGGGTTGGCTCTGAAATAAGTTGAGTAAGAGAAAGTTGCTGACTAAGTGAGATTAATTTTCTAGAGGCAGTAGAATTAAGCATGTTTATGTTGAAGTCTCCCGTGATTATGATGTTTGGTATACCGGAATCAACAGCAAGATTAAAGGAATCTTCGATTAAGGAGTGTTGTAGAGTAAAAGTGTTAGGTGGGCGGTAGTAAGTACCATAGAGAAAGCGTTTTGTCTTGCTAAAAATTTCAACCCAAATGCACTCAACTCCTTGAATTTCCAAGTCATGACGACGCAAATAACGATAGTAGCTTTTTACATACAACAGCACTCCTCCGTGACTGCCCCCTAACCGATCTTTCCTTTCTGGTTCATGAAAGCCTTCAAAGATTAAATCACTGTTTGGTGTAGAACTATCTAGCCATGATTCAGAGAAAGAGAGGATATCAAAGTCCTTGAATTCGGCAAAGAGCGTATCTAGTTTATGTTTAATGCTCTGAACATTGTAGTGCATAAAAGAAAAATAAGAGGAAATATCTGTCAAGGCTATGCTGGATTTGGAAGAAAGGGAACTACTTGAATTTGATCTAGAAAC